GTTGTTTGTTCGTTTGTTGTTGCTGTTGTTTTTAATTGCCATAATATGTTTTTCTTTTAATTTTTAACCAAGTAACCTTCTTCCATGCTGCCTGTTTAATCATCTTTCATTTTCTGCTTTTATTTTCTCACCAAGTAACACCCTACTAACACCATGCAGGCAGCCAGTGAAGTTTAGAAGGTGTTTTGGAATAGAACAGCTTCAGTCTCACACTTGCCTCTTAAATAACCTAAAAGTGTTATTGAGAACTTGCAACGGCAATACATGTCCCAAAAACGAAATGTTCATGAGTGAATTGTCTTTCCAGGTCTAGTGTCCTGTGGTTCAAAGCATTTCCCACCTATTGTGCAATAGTTAGATCTAGGTTAACCTTTTTTCTTCTTCTTCTTCCTCGTTCTCGATGACAGCAGCTAGCTTGTGGGTGGTTGGCGGGTGCTCTGGTGTGGTTTGCTTCTTCTTTCCCTTCAAACATCTATCGTCCTTATCTCCCCTTCTTCTTTTTTTATGTTTGTTACTCTCTTGTAACACCTCTAATTTTCTGGCACTCATATGACCTTATGCAGTTGCGAGCGCCGTAAAACCTCTACTAAAACTAACTGACAGCAGCTAGAGAGTCAGTCCGATGTCACGCCCAAACTGTGCAGTTCACTTCAACTCTGAGAGACTGCCATAGAGCTTTCTCTCAAGGGGAGTCACATTCTGGGTTAATCATTTAGTTTGTTGTCTCATCTCACCGATCCACAAGAACGCCAATCAACTTCCACTCCCGTCATAAAACGCCGATCGATGATGTGTACCACCACCCATTTCTCTGGATCTCCCCCAAAATGCTTGTGATGGCAAGGGTTTTGTCTATCATAATATGAGTCTTGTGAAGGCAAAGTTTTAAACCTAGATATATTTCGTTTCACCAATTTTTTCAAACCAATAAACCAACAAACGAACTACCTCACCGGACAGACGAGCACAACGAGGACCAATCGGCCTAACAGAAGGGGGAACAACCGAAGAAGACCAGGACGAAGACAAGGAGGGATGAGCTTTATGGTGGCCAGAATGAGGCTACTCACGAACCGGGTAGGCCTCTTGATTGACAGGCTCGGAATGACGCACGCAACTACCTGCATGGTCACGATTGGAGACAGCGAAGCCAAGCTCCGCCCACCCCC